AGGGCCCAAATTTTAAGTACTATGTTAGATATATCTTATGTAAATGTTATTAATAAAATATTTTAAAAGGTTTAATTAAAGGTATGTGGTTGAGTGATAAATAACGATAAATTTCTCTCTCATTTAATGCCATATTTTCATTTACGACAAAGTTCCGAACTGTGACATGCACCTAATTCACACATCAGGCATTGTACACTTACCACTAGGCCAAAGTCCTAGGAGTTTGCTTTGTATCTCATTATTATATGGATTTTACAAAAGGAATTTTAGGGCCTTTTGATATGTTTTGGCTTTAGGCCACAAAATCCGTTAAGGTGCACCTGATTTTAGGCCAGTTTAACCTGATAAGGTAAAATACCTACACTATTATACAACATGGACGCATAGAACATGAGCTTGAACAAAATAACCTAATAGATGGCACAATTTTCCCAATCAAAGCATAAATCAAAGACATAATTTATGGTGAAACGATGGATCACAAAATTCGCTATAGTCATAGCATAAAAAAAGGAGACAGAATTTACCTAGACTTATAGATCGTAAAATACGCTCTAATCAAAGTACTACAGCGATGAATGATCCACAATAAAAGTACACAAGCAATCACCAAATGTTAGATCATTATAGCCTCGAGAGTATTTTAAAAGGCCAACGATTCAGAAAAAGAATCGCCGATCGCACCTAATAGACACAAACCATGAATAAAAGAGATAAATTTAACCGAAAAATGAACAGATCTAGGGTTACTTACGGACGAAAGGAAGGAAAATGAGGACTAGAAGAAGGCCAGAATTGCCACGGAGGAGATCGTTAATAGGCGCGTAAAGAACAGTAACGGCGGAGACGACGGTGGTGAGGAGAATCTGAGCGGCGAGAATACCGTAGACTTTACGAATAAAACCCCAACGCAACTGATTTTCGCCATATCCAAGCCCTGGATATAGGGTTCCTTCCTCTATATCACCTTTGATTCCCACATCACTTTCTGTGCTCAAGCTCGTGAATCCGTACATCTTCGCTATCTAGTTCTCTCTCTCTATTCCTCTCTCTACAAAAAAAAAATAAAGGTAGTTGTGGAACAGAGAAAGAGTGTATTATTCGTCAATTTTTAGATATTTGCAATTGAGAAAATGATTGTAAACTAGAAGTTTCTGTGATGTTACTTGAAGTTCTCTCTCCACTAAAAATATCCGAATATTTTGCCTTCTACCAATTTTATAATTTGAATAGAAGAAATTATCTTTAAAAATATTTTATCTTAATTTTCAGATGTTTTATCTTATTTCTACTTATTTTCTATGGAAAAAGATTATATAATTAAAATCATATTTATAATGAAACATAAAATCAAATCAATTTGCTCGCACAAAGTGTTTAAATTCTTTTTCTTGTTTTAATAATTATGATGGGACATAAATTGTTTCACCAAATATTTGTACCTTTCTTCTAATATAGATATCGAGTAATAGTGTAATACTGCCCACCTAACATTCTTTTTTTTTTCATCTTCTGAAATTTAAACTTAGGATTTTCATAGTTTCATTTCACTCTCATTGACAAGTAAGTTGTATCCTTAGGTGCTAAATACTTCAGTGGTTTTCCCAAGTTTAATAATTGATATTAAACTTCACGTGGTCCTTAGTATCCCTCTAAACTTGACATTTTAATAGTCTTGACCATTGCCACATAGATTTTTTTGCCCATGTGGTATTCTTTTACCATAAAATATATAATTTTTACCTTTTTAAGTCCACTAATGATTTAAATTATTTTTTTATGCCGAATATGTTTTTTAAGAAAAATAATAATTTGGAACAAAATTATTTTGACCATAATTTTTATTTGGCTAAAAAAAATGATATTCTAATCAAGTTAGTATTACATATTTGGTTAGGAAAAGAAGGAATACACAGTTAGAACATATACTAATTGCATCTAAAAAAAAAAAATTTAAAAAAAGTACGTTGTTGGAACTCAATATTTTAGCAACAAAAGAAATATTTTGGCTAAAAATAATAAAATTCCAATAAAATATCTTACAAATTTAACACGAAAAAGAATAATGCATATTATAAATAAATAGTCATTGCATGGAAAAAAAACAATTCCTTTTTCTTTTTGTAGAATATCTATTTGACCTTCATTACTTTGGCTAAACCATCTTTTTATTTGGCTAAAAGAAGTAGATGTTCAACAAACTTTTGTAGATTTGGCCGGAAAAAAAATTACATAATCAAAACAAATATTGATTGTATCTAAAAAATACAATTGAGATAAAATATGCAATGTGCATTTTCAAGATCAATTGGGTTGTGTATAACCATATCTTATATGGTGTGGGTGGTTATATTTGCTTCTTGGACTACTTCTATGATCTGTATTTTAGAATTTCATCGGACTGGCGACGTAATGTTTATTGATAAACCTGTGGTCAATTATCTTCTAGTCATAGATGTTTTTTTTGGTTAAATATCAAAAGTCTAGCTCCTGTGGACTATAGAGCTAGACTCAAGACAAGAAAACAAAACTGCTATGTACATTTCAATAGTCCCTCTACTACTACTCTACTATCTAGTGCCAACTATTCATAGATGTTTGCTTTCTAAATATGCTCCCTATGATAACTGAATTCATAAATTATGGTTAACAAACAATACGAGCCGCCAGATACATCGGCCAAGGTTTCATGATTACCCTGTTACCGGAATTGATCGATAGATTTCTCGAAACAAACGAAAAGGAAAGGAAAGATGAAACATAAATCATGGATCAACTAAGCCCTGACTTTCTTAAAGAGGAACCTCATGTAAATACCATGGAATAAGGTTTGATCCTATTCATGGAGATTCCGTAACTATTCCAAAAATGGAAAGTTCGACACAATTGGGATTTTTTTTTGAAAATTGGAAGCAGTTACTAATTCATGATCTGGCATGTACAGAATGAAAACTTCATTCTCGATTCTACGAGAATTTTTATGAAAGCCTTTCATTTGCTTCTCTTCGATGGAAGTTTGATTTTCCCAGAATGTATCCTAATTTTTGGCCTAATTCTTCTTCTGATGATCGATTCGGCTGGAATTGGGGATTATTTTTCTTATTCTGATCATAAGTTTAAGTTATTAAATATGACATTACATATTTGCATGTAGGTAACATGAGGAAGAAATTAATGACTACGAAGCATATTCCTTCGGCAAAGAAGGCAATTGCACAACCTTCAAAGCCTCCAAACAGGAAAGGAAATGCTAAAACACTAGAAGCATCGCCAAGTAAAGTAAATGCTGAGCTTTCAAAAACTACTATTGGAAACGAAATGTAGATACTTCTAAAGCTTCACCTAGTAAAGGAAATACTGAAATTTCTAAGCGTGATAGGAGGAAAAAGAATAAAGAGTCATCAAAGTCTAGCGGTAAAAAAAAAGAACAAGATCAGGTCTAGATTTGTTGACGAGGACGTACCTCTTAGTAAAAATCTGTTTCAAGGAGCTTAGCATTAGAGGGTGTTGATGAGGAGTAGGAAGTAGACTTGGACATAAATTAAGCATAAACTCAAATGGAAGAACATTTTTCCAACAAAAAAAAACAATTATCGAAGAAGAAAAGAACAGTTATGATGAAGCTTTAGGTGAGGGGATGATGAAAATGGTGATGATGTTGCAGAGGAGGATGAAAATGGTGATGTTGCTCAGGAGGTTGATAAAAATGCTGAAGAAGAAGAAGAAGAAGAAGAAGAAGAAGAAGAAGAAGAAGATGATGATGATGATGATGATGATGATGATGATGATGAACAACCTGAAGATGGTGAAGATGGGTTGAAAGTGAAACACATGCAGCCGTTGATGGTAACTTGGATGCTCTGTCAATTCCTATGTTTGTAAGGGCGATCGACGCATCTAAATGCAAATTCAGGACTTTTCTAAGAAAGGATGGACGTTTTCCGGTCAAGATTAGTATGAGGTCCAGGATCAATTTATTCTATGAGTTCAAGGAAAAACTTAGAACGATCAAATTGATAGAAAAGTTTAATAGCAGTTATTTTGGACAGTTTGCAAAACTTCCAGAGCGTTGGACACAGTTCAATGGACAACTTATCCATTCCATGCTGATTCGCCGAATTTATTGCGCGAAAAAACGTGTGTTATTGTTTTTAGTTGGAGACAAGCATGTTCACTTTGGATTGAAGGAGTTTGATATGATGACTAGCATCTTCTTGAATTTTAACTTAGGATTTTCATAGTTTCATTTCACTCTCATTGACAACTAAGTTATACCTTTAGGTGCAAAATACTTCAGTGGTTTTCCCAAGTCTAATAATTGATATTAAATTTCTGGCAGTAGTTCATGACTTCCTTAAACTTGATAACTTTTATTTATTAGTTTCCCCTTAAACTTTACGTGGTCCTTAGTACCCCTCTAAACTTGACATTTTAATAGTCTCAACCCCTTGGACACTATCAATCTATAAGAGCAACTCCAATCTAGTCTCCAAAATGGGGATTTCCTCATTTTTTTGGGACAAAAATGTGAAAATTTCACTCCAACCCTCTCCCATTTTGTCCCCAAAATGGGGAGTGAATAGTGTCTCCCCAAATTTGGATACACACTATTCACCTCCCCATTTATTATTCCATATTAAAATATTATTATTTTTATTATATATACTTAATTATGTTTATATAATATATTTACCTAATTAATTTTTCATCTAACTTTGACGTATAATTTTGAAAAATTAATTATCATGCATCTATTTTTTTTTTTTGGTAAAATTGGTAGTTAATTTTATTATGAGTTATAATTGTATGAAAAAGATATAACCATCAAAAAATGAAAGGTGCAAATATAAAATATTTGATGTTGCTAAAATTAAAATACATTAAAATTAAAAATACATTAAAATTGAAAATACATTAAAATTAGAAATACATTAAAATTAAAAATACATTAAATTAAAATATATTAAAATTGAAACTACATTAAATAACATAATAATTTAGTAGTGAGACATGTCGTTTTCAGGTACACCAAAATTATTATAGTACTGAGTGAATGGTACAGATGATTGTTGTGGTTGTGACTGTTGTGGTTGTTGACTTCTTTTATACATTATAATGTTGTTGTTCTTGCCACAAATATTCACGACGAACTGGATCCAAAATAGCACCACATCCATGGACATAATTTTACAATCATATTTCAATTCTTTTAGTCTTATTTTTTCTCTTTCAATGTCATTTGTTTCTTTTTGTCTCTCAGTTGCACTATTCATCGCCTCAACAATTCGATTATTTTGTGATTCGACTATCTTCATAAAACCATCGTTGATTTTTCTCTTCATTTTTGCTTTCTTCACCCCACTTGGTCGTTGTGATGGCGTGGAATCACCTGCAACATCCTCATTTAAATTTACTGAAAATGATAAGTTAGGAGATGATACACAGGGTGAATCAGGAACACGAGCCTCAGAGTCCGATGATATATAAGCATAGTTTTGCTTTCTTGTTTTTTTTCTTTCAACATTGCCATTGTTAAACTTCTCAAAATCCTTCATTAGAGCCCACACATGATCAAATTTAAATCCTTTTTTGAAGTTTGGATCTTGCATAAATAAAGCTTTTGCTTGTGTAAGTTGCAATGTTTAAAAAAGATAAGGAAAACAATAAGTAAATATATAATGACTACATGTATTATACTGCACAACATGATAATCGAGAATGAGCGTGATCTTAATGCACCAATTCAAGATGATTTGGAAGGTCCACCTCCAACAGTAGAAATGGAAGTAGATGAAAATCAATGACGCCGCGTGGCTTCACATTGTTCTCTTAAAAGCAACACGCACATAAGTCTTACCTTATGCCGTTGTATTCACATTAACCCTTATTCTTATACCTCCGCATGTGTGTCAATGTCACATCACGATAACAACTCGTACCACAAGTGCCCATATATCACACTTGTCAATAATCAATTATATGTTTCCAAAACAATAGCTCATGGCTCCACCACAACGTGTACAAGAATATCAACGATAACAATAAATGTAAATTTTCAACAAGAATGATGTCTCAACAATTAACACTTCAACTCAATGTGATAACGGCTTTCACAGCTTCAACACCAATAACACAACAATGAGAAAGATAATATGTGACCACGATACTAAATAAGAACAACTCACAATAAAAGAGATAACACATACAGATGACTTCAAATAAGGATAAACAACCATGAAAGTGATAACATGTAACAATGACTTCAAGTAATGATAATCAACAATGAAAGAGATAACATATATCGATAATGAACGAGATAACATGTAACAATGAAAGAGGTAACAAGTTCAACTAATGCATAAGAGCCAAATATCAAGTAAGATGTGAACAAGTGTTAACAAGGTCATTTAAGACATGTAAGGATAGACTAACACAAATAAGAATAGGTTGACTACGAGAATTTAGAACATGACACGGCAATTTAATTAAAGTATGGAAAGAGTCTAAGTAGCCTAAACCGGTCATATACCACATACAAAATGTGCCTCGTCACCTTACATACACGGCTTTCACATAACACAAATGACACAATCGATCCCAAATCCTACGGGGTAGTTCCCCTACACAAAGTTTGGCAAGATATTTACCTCAACTAGGCCAATTCTGTAACGACCCGACCGGTCGTTTTGAGCTCTAGCACGTCGTTTAGCGGTTTGAAGCCCTGAGTAGCTTCACTTCAGGTATTATGACTTGTACGCATGGTCGGAATCAAATTCCGGAAAGTTCAGAGTTGATTTGGAGAGAGAATTCTCATTTCGGAAGCTTTAAGTTGAAAGAATTGACTAAAATTGGATTTTTGAGTAAACGACCTCCTCGGAATTGGGATTTGAAGGTACCAGCAGGTTCGTATGATGATTTCGGACTTGGGCATATGTTCGGACTGGGTTTTGGAAGACCCGGGAACGTTTCGGCGCCTATTGTGGTTGTTAGCATTTTTGGAAGAATTTCACGAGTTTGGGTTAAAGTGCATTTCAATGTTATCGATGTCCGTTTGGGATTCCCAGTCTGGGAATAGCTCCGTATGGTGATTCTGGTGTTGGGAGCGCGATCGGAAGTGAATTCGGAGGTCCGTGGGTCATTTTGGAGTCATTTGACTAAAGATAGAAATTTGAAGGTTTTTGGGAAGTTTGACCGAGAGTTGACTTTCTGATATCGGGATTGGATTCCGATTCTGGAAGTTGGAGTAGGTCCGTAATGTCGAATATGACTTGTGTGCAAAATTTGAGGTCAATCAGACGTGATTTGATAGGTTTAAACACTGAGAGTAGAAGTTTGAAATCTTAAAGTTCATTAAGCTTGAATTGGAGTGCGATTCATGGTTTAACGTTGTTTGATGTGATTTGAGGCTTCGAGCAAGTCCGCTTTATGTTTTTAGACTTGTGAGGGTGTTTGGTTTGGAGCCCCGAGGGCTCGGGTGAGATTCGGGATAGCTTCGGAGTGATTTGCTAAGAAATGGGAATGCTGGTACTGGTATGGCCACATTTGCGATGTCTTGGTCGCAAATGCGACCATCGCATTTGCGAGGAGGGCTTCGCAATTGCGAAGGAGCCCGACCCCTGGCAGTGTTCGCATTTGCGACACTATTGCCGCATTTGCGATCCTAGCAGACGTCGTATTTGCGACTCTGTGGTCGCATTTGCGATCCCAGCAGCATAAGCCAGGCTTCGCATTTGCGAGGCTTTTGTCGCATTTGCGAACCTCGTGTCGCAAATACGACATCAAAGGGCTTTGTCCAGCTATTAATTTCGAGACTTAGACCATTTAGCTCATTTCCTTTCATCTCTTGGGCGATTTTGGAGCTTTTGGAAGAGGGTTCTCACCTAGCACTTTGAGGTAAGTAATTTCTACACAATATGAGTTAAATACATAGATTATGGGTAGATTAACATGTGAAATTTTGGGAAAATCAAGGGTTTTAGATGAAAAACCTAGAGTTTGATAAAAATAAGATTTAACCACGAAATTCATTAGGGAATGGAGTAAAAATCATATATTCTTGATCCTTAGGTTATGGGTAGAAAAAACTTTCTTCAAAAATTTTCGGAATCCGGGCATGTGGGCCCGGGGATGAATTTTAGGAACCTTATATTTAGGGTTGGGAAATTGGTTTAATAATTAAAATATGAACTTTTGAGCATGTATTGACTAGTTCTTACCCCATTTGAATAGTGTTGGATCGTTCAGCTCCAATTTGGAGGTTTGAGCGCGTTCTTGAATTGGGATATAGGCTTCGAAGCGAGGTGAGTCTCCTTTCTAACCTTGTAAGAGGGAATTGTCCCCATAGGTGAGTTACTTGGTTATGTGCTCCTATTTGTGGGGGCTACGTACGCACGAGGTGACGAGAGTCCGCGCGTAGCTACTATTATGCTTATGTCCGGGTAGTTTAGGACCCAAAAGCATGCTTACTTGTAATAAATGCAACCTTGTTGACAAATTTAAAAAATGCTTAAATCATATTGAAGAGGCAAACAATTTTCTAAAAGAGTTAAACTTCATTTTCTTGACTTGTAAAAAGGAGAATTTACACCTCCTTGAATAATTATTTCCTTGATGAATGTCTTGATTGACTGTTTGAATATGTGATTCTATGTGTACCTGCGTCGCATGTATGATTCGCGAGCAGGGTGATTGTTTATTTATATTTGACCGCATCGCATGTATGATTCGCGAGCGGGGTAATAGATGCATCTATGGTTCGCGCCATTCGACCCTCTGGCAGTGCACAGTTTAAATATTGTTGGATCGGGCCGTACGTCCTCGGCATGATTTGTGCATGCTTGTATTGCTTGCCTTAAAATTTATTGAAGTGATATTGTTTCTTCCCGGTTTGAGAATAAATGTATAAATGATGAAAAGAGATTATGGAATTTCCTATAAAAGAAAGAATTGCTTACTTGCTTCACTTTATTGAATTACAATCATGTTTATATAAATCCTCAATTTGTTACATTATTGATTTATCATTATTGGACCACTAGTAAGTGTCGAAGTTGACCTCTCGTCTCTACTTCTTCGATATTAGGCGGGATACTTACTGAGTACACGTTGTTTTCGTACTCATGCTACACTTGTTGTGCTTTTTTATTACATAGGCATATGCATCTCTAGCGGCCTAGTGGGCGTAGTAGCATGGTTGATACGGAGACTTAGGCAAGCTGCACCTCTCGAGACGACCCGCAGCCAGCAGAGTCTCCTTCAGATTTCCATATTTACTTTCTGTCCTATTTGTTTCGGGCAGTTGTTGTATTATATTGTTTCCTAGAGATAGCTCATGCACTTGTGACACCGGGTTCTGGGATGTCTATGGGATTTTTCAGTATTTTGAAATTGTTAAAGATATTAGTATTCATTAAGTGGAACTTATTATTTATTGTTTAAATGTATAAAAGAAATGATTTCGGGGATATCTAAAACGAGAAATCTCTAGCTAAATAGTGTTGGCTTGCCTGACAGTGGTGTCCGGCGCCATCACGACCCTTAGTGGATTTTGGGTCGTGACAACATGGTATCAGAGCACTAGGTTCCCTTAGGTCTCACGAGTCATGAGCAAGTCTAGTAGAGTCCCGCGGATCGGTACGGAGATGTCTGTACTTATCTTCGGGAGGCTACAGGGCTGTTAGGAGCACTTCCCTTCTTGATTTCCTCATCGTACGATTTGAATCCTTTGAGGCTTATGCCTTTGTTTCCTTCCCAATCGATCTTGTGCAGCGCGAAGCGCTTATTATTAATCAGGAATTGAGAAATTTTAAAGGTACTACAGAGCTGGTGCGGGATGCTTCTCCCGGCGTAGTTGATTTGACTATTGTCGTCGCCTTGTGGAAAGATATTCTGTCATTTCAGCTTAGTAGTCGTACTTCTGAGAGCTCTGAGGCTAGGCACAAGTTGCCATGCTGCTTATGAACGGTTGTCGCGTGGTATTGATGTGATGGTAGGATGCGTGCCTACGTGTCGAGGCAGTGAATGACCTGAAGGGAGGTTTACTCGGTGCATGATTCAGAGATTCGGTATTTTATTCCCGGTGGAGGGAAGGCAATCGGGCTAAGAATGTTTAGATTTGGGTTGATGGAGTAACGAGACTTGGTATTTGCGAGCGTGGTGGAATTCTCATCTGTGATGAGGTGTTGTTTACCTTGTTGAAATGTGCTAAGTTGCCCGTGTTATGATCTTCTACAATTCGCTTTTGGGGTAGGGTATTGTGAGATAACAATGGAGAAGCGGCTGTCAGAGATCGCGGGGTGCGGTGGTTCAGGATTTAGTCGATGTTTCTAAATGTCGATGGCTCGAGAAGAGATGATCTTCGGGAAGGTTTAAAGTTAGTAGCAGTCTATTGGTTCAAGAGCTACTGAGTTAGATTTTTGATCTAAGGCATCAGCTGAGCGGCGAAGGATGATGAAGGACATATGGAAAGTGTCACGCGGTGGTTAAATTTCGAGAAGGCCAAGTGTAAGAAGCGAAAGTCGAATAGTTGCTTAAAGAAGAGGGTTTGGCCAAAGTGGGAGAGTGGCAGAGCAGCACGTGGATTCAGTAGCAGGATAACTACACCCTTGAG